AATCAATGTTTTATAAGTAAAAAAGAACCCGATACTATATTGATACTAATATTACGTTAAATTTTGCCTCAGAAAACGGAAACTACAAAGGAAAATATCATCACTCAGACTTCCACTTTGAATAACTGTGAGAAAGTCAGCCAAACTCGAACACAAATGGCATCAAACGACGAATCGGAAACTACACAGTCAAGTCTTAGCACAGACTCAGAACGCTCGTCTTCTGCACGAAAAGAAACTTGTTCATGCCATTTTGGGACCAAAGGAACAGCTGATTCCTCTAGACTTCACCGCGGTTCGAGGGACATTCTCTTGCCCATCACTCGAAGGGGAGACTTCTTCCAGGACTCATTCTTCTCCGGTATACACCGCAATTTCGACGCCTCCATCAGGAAGGTCCTCAACGGCTGGAATGACGCCGACCTCCAGCTGGCGGACTTCTGGGACGAGGACGACTTCCACCGCAGCGACAGACTGGGCCGCTACAGACAGCTGCGATCGCGGAACCTGTGGAGTGACAACCAGGCCGTTACAGTCACTTCGGATAATATTAGTTACAAGGTAAGTAGCATGAAGACACCACACGTTCAAAAATATAACCAATAATTCTTACGTTTTATGGACGAATGAAAACTTGTTTTGTTTTACTGATACCGTGAATCATGTCACAGATCGTGTTGGACATGCATGACTTTGTGGATGGAGATGTGAAGGTGAAGCTGATGGGCGAAGGAGCTGCTGGTGGAGGCCCTTTCGGCCGGGTCCTCGCGCACCTTCAGACGCAGTTTTTCCTTGCCTGAGTCCACTGACATGACATCCATCACGCCTGTCATGTCGTCAGATGGCATCCTCACAATCACTGTGACCAAGAAGGTATTGTCCTAGCTCCTCTTAAAACTATATCAACGCTTTTCTGATGTTATAAAACTGACTTCATTAAAATGTAGAAGGCATTCGCATGGTAAATACGCCATCCTAAACCAACAGGAGACTGAAACACAACAGAAGACGACTGTCATCCCCATTAGCGTCAAGGAAACGCACAATGCAGAAGTTCACAGCTCAACTTCCTCGACGACCTCGGGAGTTTCTGAGGAAGCGGCGTCTGGCCAGAACGTCCCACACAGCCCAACAGGAGGAACGCAAATCCGCACGATGCCATCAGGAGAAGATCGACGAGAACAAGACCCAAACTGCAGCTTCCAGTATCTCAAGCAACACCCAACAATCATCACAGAAGCAGTCGTCTGTGATCTCAGATTTCGCTTCCACAAGAATTTCCGACTCGCTGGAAGCAAAGGAAACTCTTGGCAGTTCGCAAGACGATTCCTTGGCCATCGCGAGGAGAGGAAGCTTCTTGCAAGACTCGTTCTTCTCCGACATTCGCCGAGACTTCGACGCCTCCGTCAGGGAAATCTTGAAGAAATGCGACGACTCCGACCTCACGCTGACAGGCGATGTCAGTCACAGTGACATCCTGAGCCGCTACAGGCAGCTTCGATCTCGAAACATGAGGGAAGAGAACCAGGCCTTCTGCGTCTCGTCAGACAGTGCCAGCCTCAAGGTCAGTCCCCTCTCTGTGTATCAGCACTCGGCATTGCCTAAAGTATTCAAGATATTTTCATTGATTACAAAGTATTTGATGTTTTTCTCTTGGTACACGATTATCTATACTTGATATGCACAACTTCACTGAGGGTCGCAGAATATCTTCACATACTATTATGGGCTTCATCATTATCCGATTCATTCTGCTTGTTCTTTCTTTTTTTCTCATTATCACCATTATTGCTTTCATTATCATTACTATCATTATTGCAATTATCAATATTCATATCATTATCAATGCCATTTTTTTCATTGTTAGTGTTATTATCATTGTCACTTTCAAATTGTATTATTGATAATCATCAGTCCTATCACTATTTTGACCATATTTTCATTAACTTAAAAAAAAAATAAAGCAAATTCAATTCAATTTCAATCTCATAGATCGTGCTGGACGTGCATGACTTCATGCGCGGAGACGTCAAGGTGAAAGTCGTCGACGAGGAGCTGGTGGTGGAAGGGCGCGCGGAGGAGGAGGAAGGAGGGTCGTCCGTCTCGACACGGTCCTTCAGACGCCGCTTTGCCCTGCCTCACAGCACTGACATGACACGCATCACTTCTGTCATGTCTTCGGATGGCATCCTCACAATAACTGCTCTCAAAACGGTAAATAACTTACTTTTCATGTTAAGATAACTTAATAAACCTATGTTTACATTACATAATCATGCTTAAAAAATATAGACCTGACATGTTAATCACACTGCAATGTAACATATTAAGTATCTACATGACCCTGTTTTTGTTTCATTCAGGCAGGAGAACCTCAGGAAAACTCACTCGTTAACTTCTCCGCGACCGAGGAAAGAAAGGAATCAACAGCTCAAGACTCAACACCCGAAGCAGTTTCGTCCACGACGGAGAAAAATATCTCTGTTCACGAGAATCTTGTTAATGTGGATCAGATGGAGTTTGGGTGTGAACGAAAACACTCTTACGAGAACAAGACGAGAAAGCTGAAGAAAGAATTCGAATTTCCTGCTGAATCCAAGGAAGTTTTGAAGTCCAAGATCTGCCAAAATCCGTCTGTGGATGAGTCTACAACTGCTTCTGTTCGTGGAGACGTTGCCAATATTCAGGATCATGAACTCATGCGATTGGCTGAAACTCTTGAATCGACAGTCGTTGAAAAAGCCTCTTATGATGATTCAGTTTCTGAACAACAGGAACAAGCAACTGTGCAATCAGAATCTGATTCGACTGAAGCCATCAAACTGGGCGAGGAAATCTTGCCCATCGTTCGAAGGGGAAGCTTCGTCCAGGACTCCTCTTCCTCGATGTCCGCCAAGAATTCGACGCTGCCATCAGAGAGGTCCTGAGGAAGTGGGTCAGCGAAGACAGCGAAGACACACAGTGAGGACTTCCTTGGCCTTAGTCACAGCGATATCCTGGACCGCTACAGACAGCTTCGATCCAGAATTGAAGGAAGAGACCCAAGTCTTTATCGTCACGTCCGACAACACTAGTTACAAGGTAAATAGTTCAAGAATCACTCTTACTAATACAATTTGTTTAAACGCCTTTTGAAGATCAATTAAATCCCAATATTTTTTCAATCTACCTGCAACTGTTTACACGTGGGTTCTTCATTTGAACAATTATTAATTCGAATATGATACCCAGATGTAAGCATTATGGCTATTGTTTAATATACATAAATTTTAGATCGTGTTGGACGTCCAAGACTTCATGAACGGGGATCTGAAGGTGAAGGTGGCGGGCGAGACGGGGTGGTGGTGGAGGGTCGTGTGGAGAGGAGAGAAGAAGGAAGCTCATCCGTGTCCTCCTACTCCTTCCGACGCCGCTTTCTTGCCAGAGCATATTGACATGACAGCCATCACGTGCATCATGTCTTCAGATGGCATTCTTACAATCAGCGCTTCAAAAATGGTATGTAAGGATTATCTGGAGATGACAATTACTTATGCTATATGTTACAAAGATGAAAATGTCAGTTACTAAGAATACAAAAAGATGTTACAAATAAAAACGTGCACATCGCAGACACTCACAAGCACCCTCTTTCCCTGACACACATACTCACGTACGCACTCACACACACTCGTGTTTCTGTTTATAAGATCAAGTATAATTTTTAAGCTAATATTTAAATTGTTTAACAGGCAGAAGAACCGGAGGAACACAAAATGATCAGGTCTGTTGAGGAAGTTCAAAAATCCTCTCAAGTTCAACGCTCGCTATTCCCAGCTGATGAAACCATCTCCCTCCATGAGGAATGTGAAAAAGAAAGCAAAGCACACATGACTGCATGGACTCTGTGGCAGAAGATACGAGCATTGAAGATGTAAAGATTCCGATCTCATCTCAAGAAATGAGTCACTCGGTGGAATCTGAGACAGCCCGAGAAGTCCTGTTGACTGATTCTGCAGCAACATCGAGTCATGATACTGATTTCGACTTTGTAGAAAGTGAAAATCAAAGCAAAGAAACTATTGCAACGTAGAATCTATTGTACCTGCAAAAGTGATGATGATTCTCCAACTTTTGTGTCTGATGAAATGCAGTCTTGCTCCGAGTTTGCAGACATTTCAGATGCTTCCTTGTGTCGCCGAAGTTCGATCGCCATGACTGAAACGTCTGGCAATTTGTCTGCCTCTCGTGACTTTGGAACTTCCTCTCAGGATTCTCTTCTGTCTGCCATTCCCGAAGATGAAAACGATTCCGAAACTGCAGAAGTCCTTCATCTTGAAGACTCTCAAGCAGGCTATTGATATTCAGATCTGAAAAACTCACAGGAATCTTCTCATTGTTGAAGTGAAAGGCTCAGAAGCTATTGAAATTCTTGATCTTACAGACTCGCAGGAAGATATGACATTCTGATGTAAAAGATTCACAGGATCTGTTGATATTCTTGAAGTGAAAGGCTCATCTGTTGAAATTCTTGATCTCCAAGATTCCCAGGAATCTGTTGACATTCTTGATGGGAAGACTCACACGAAACTGTTGCTGAGGCTCAGAATGTGTCAGTCAGAACTCAAAGTCTTCAACCATTTTCGATGTAACTGAGGATGCCGCGTCTGTGCAAGAAAGGTCCAATACTATTGACGAGGAACTTGCACAATTTTCTTGGCAAAATAAGTATGAGAACGACTCAGCAGTTCAAGAGAACTTTAATTACCAAACAATCCCTGAGGAAACACTCGACAGCAAAAGGACTCAGTCGGCAGCCATTGAGAGTTGCACAAATTCCGTTCAGTTATCCAGAGATTGTACCCATGAAGAGGAAGCCGTCGATAGTGTCGGGCAGCTGAACCTAGAAGAAACGACTGAAACCAAAGAATCCAGCCAACAGATACAAATACTTCATCCACGACAATTGCAGAAGAGTCTGCAGAAGCTATCGAATCCTTGAAAGGAACAAGAGGATTCAGAGAGATTCGCCAGAAGAACTCTTGCTCATCACCAAAAGAGGAAACTTCTTCCAAGACTCATTCTTCCTCGACGCTCACCGAGACTTCAGTGCCGCTCTCAGGCAGGTGTTGGGCAGGTGCAATCAAGTCAACTTTGAGGACGACACTGACCTCCGCCACACCGATATCCTGGAACGCTACAGGCAGCTTCGGTCTCGCGATCTGAGGGAAGAGAATCAGGCCGCTATCGTCACATCAGACAAGTCTTGTATGAAGGTTAGTCGACATTATTGTCATTGTTACTTTTCGTGTCATTTTGAGTAATATCAATATTATTACTAAATAAATTACTACATGATTCCCAAAACATTTCAAAAGTAGGTATAAAAAGCTACCTATTATTTCCAGATAATTATGGACGTTCATGATTTCATGAGTGGAGATGTACAAGCGAAGGTCGTTGATGAGAAGGAGTTGGTCATCGAGGACTTGTGGTGAAGAAGGAAGAAGGAACCTCATCCGAAACCTCTCACTCCTTCAGACGCCGCTTCTCTCTTCCACAGTTTACTAAAATCACTTCTGTCATGTCATTAGATGGCATCCTCACAGTCACTGTGATGTTTAAGGTATGTTCTAATCAAGTCTATTATTGATATATTTTTGCTAGGAGTAATCACCTATGAATAAAGAAAAAAAAAAAAAATACACTACGCAAATATTGTATAAAGTTATTGTTTTGCAGGAAGGAAATGTCGAGGCAAATACTGCTGAAAACTCCATTAAAACTGAAGCAAAACGCATCACAAAAGAAATCATTCACTCGAAATCACTTCACTTCCTGCTGAAAAACGTCTGCTTGAGACCAAGAATGAAAACCAAAATGGACTGAACGAGTATATGACATCTCAGTCCGAGGAAACTCGTCATTTCCCTCGAGATTTCACGTCGGGGACAAAGACGCCTTATCTTGATTGCAGTTTCGAGGACAGCAATAGACTGAGACGCTGTGGACAAGAAAGTGGCAGGGAGTCTCAAGAAACTAATAAGTATAACGTCACCGAAGACGCAATTATGGGAACGTCCTCTCGTTTGGCAAGTGGTTCTCTATCTAGCTTCACAGAGAAGTCTTTTCCTATCACGAGGAAAGGACACTTTTTCTCCCATTACTTCTTCCGAGACACAAGGGAGGATTTCCAGAAGGCCGTTAGGGAAATCCTGAGCAGATGGGGAGAGAAGTCCTGCGGTGACGAGATGACTTCCTACAGGAAACTACGAGCACGAAATATGAGGGAAGACACTCAGGCTGTGACGTCCTCGGAAGATGAACGCCATTATAAGGTACAGACATAGACTAATTATATAATCTGTTTCTCTGTCAAGAAATGTTATTTGAAACATCATGGTAACTCATTGCCTGAATGAAGTTTTGTCATGTATTTTCTTCTTTTTCAGTTTGTCATTGATGTTCACGACTTTATGGACGTTGGAGAGATCAGCGTGAAGGCTGTGAACGAGCGAGAGTTGGTGGTCGAAGGTCACTTGGAGAAGAAGGAAGACGGTTCCAAGTCCAGCAAGCGGTTCCTTCGGCGCTTCGTTGTTCCTGGAGACATTGAGCTTGAGGCTGTCATTTCAGTCATGTCTTCTGACGGTGTGCTTAAAATTTTGGCTCCAAAGAAGGTAGGTTATCTGTGTATACGTTCGGAAGTTCATACACGAGTATATTGTTATATAGATATGCATAGGAATGTTTCTGTGCCCAGCACTGTGTTTATTTGAGGGAGTAAAGAAAATAGATATGACTAGAACTGCAAACACTGGTTCAATATACGTGCAGAGGCGTTTGTCTAAAATACATTCTAGAAACAATCGCATCAAAGTAAATATACATAACTTTGCTGTTCCGCAGGAGGGCCATAATCGAAAACATTTTTCGATTGATGTAGAAGACATGGACGATGTCGAGGCAACGGTTTCAAGGAAATTTAGAAATGGACATCGTCTCGCCGAGGAATATCTGAAGAAGAGAGATTCATCTTCTGATGACGAGGAATTAAGAGCTTTTGCCAAACAATCCAATAACCAATACCGAGTCACTTTCCAAGACGATGACGAAGAGTTTGAAGGTGGACACATGTTCAACAAGGAGACAAAGATGACAATAACAGCAGCAAGGATTTCAAGTATAACATTCCAAGCCTTTCTATGGAAACCAGGGTTTTGCACATAGAGAGGAGAGGTGCGTTTGCTGAAGACTATTGCTTCGCAAATGTCCGTAACAGCTTCAGCCAGGCGGTGAGAGAAGTGCTGGAAAAGGCCAGTGAATGGACCTGTCGAAGCGACGCCATGCACAACTACAGACGTCTGCGTCAACGCAACCTCAAGTTGGAAAATCAGGCTGTTGGCATCTTGGACGATCAGGACTCGCACAAGGTGGGTGTGAAACTGCTTCTTACTAAAGCCTGTTTTATATCACATTTGGAATCCTTCTTTCAATTAAGACTGAATAGCTAGTTATCTAAATTTTTTTCTACCTTTTCAGATCGTGATGGACGTGTTTGACTTCATGAAGGGCGACGTGACAGTGCAGTTGGTGAAGGGCAAGGAGCTGCTGGTGGAGGGTCAAGCAGAGAGGCAGGACGGAGGCAGAGTGTCCCGAGTGAGCTTCGTGCGTCGCTTCGCCTTGCCTGAGCTCGTCGAGCGAGACGCCATCAGCTGCGTGTTGTCCTCGGACGGAATCCTGACGATCACCTGCAGGAAGAGAGCAAGCGGCTACAGCGCAAGGGGATTTTGCAGCGAGAGGAAGCCCCACGTGGACACAGCTGGCGGGTGGAGGACAAGGATGCGAAGGACTCCCTCGCGGATTGGGAAGGAGCCAGTTCTCGGGCCTTCAGCAGCTCCGCGCCCCAAAGTTATTAGAGTGAAAGTCCTTACAGGAATTTATAAATGCATAAAAAAAAAAAATCTTGTACTCAATAATTTATTTTGTGATATACATATATATATATATATATATATATATATATATATATATATATATATATATATATATACATATATATATATATATATATATATATATATATATATATATATATATATATATATGTTTCGTATTATTTTTGAAATCACATTCCTTACTACAAGTATTTACATATGTTATTTTGAAGAAAAAGTTTATTTGTATATGCAAATATAACGATAACTTACTTTGTTGTATAGTTACCCTGATCCTATGTTCCGATAGGCATGATCTTCATTTTATGAGTTTTATATGAATCAAAATTCAAAGTCCGAAAGACAAAAAAAAAAAAAAAAAAAAAAAAAAAAAAAAAAAAAAAAAACAGGTGAAAAAAACGGGAAAAGAATGAATGGAGTGATTTGCCAGGCCTGGAAATGACCGATTTGCCCATCACTACCTTCAGCAATTACAGGAAGATCGACTGACACAGGGAAGTGAATTGACCAAGTTCAGCAAAGGAGAATCTGCAGAGAACAGATCATTTCTCGTGTTGGCCACACTGCGTCTTTAAGGAGGATTGATGTTGTTAATTATGTTCATTTCCTTTTTTTTTGCTTTGAAGGCTGTCCCCAACGCCTTAAGTAATGAAGAATCCAAGGCCCTGACTAACGCCTGAGGGCGGACAAGAGGAAGAAATATCATCTGGATTCTAGGATTATGATAGTGATAAAGAGTGACAGCACATTGTTCAGTTCCCCAAACCATATATTTCGCTATTTTAAAATCTAGTCGCATTACTACCGAATATTGTTATGGAATATTGTTCCAAAAGTGTAGTGAAACTTAGATTATAAATATTTTGCCATGAGTTTATGATTTCTTTAGTTTATTTTGATCATCAAACAAGACAGCAACAAATGCTGGTTATCCTTATTGTTTCACATGTTTTTTCCCTAAAGAAGATAAAACCATGTAGATGACAGTTCCGTAACTTTTATTATTATGATCCTCATTTGATTATTATTACCATATTATTATCATCATCATTATCATCACTTACAGAATTTATGAAAATATTCTTCCGCGTCAACATCAGAGGCCATTAGCGGCATATTCAAAATATAACGAAGGGTGAGCCTTGTGACAAAGCCCCCGGGTTAGGAAGTTTTATTAAAATTATTATTAAGCGATCTTTGTGAATTCCCACGATGGTTAATGGTCAAAGCAAATGCATGTGCCTCTCCCCACCGGCAACAATCATCATCATCACCATCATCATTCATCATTCATCATTATCATCATCATCATTATCATTATTATCTTCATACAATTATTATCATTACTATTATTAGTGTTATCATTTTTGTTTTCATCATTAATGTTATTATAATCATTACGGTGATCATAATCATCATCATTGTTATTATCATCACTATTATTATCTTTATCACATCTATTACTATTATCAATATCATTATCATCATTTTCAGTTTTATCTATCATTACTGTCATCATTATTATTGTTATTATAATCATTGTCATTATCAAGAACATCTTCATCCTCATCCTCGTCATTATCACTTTATCATTATTGTTATTATCATTATCATTAGTATTTTATCACCATCATCATTACCATTATTATCATGATTATCATTATCTAATTATTGTTATTCCTAATATTAGTTATTATTATAACTATTATTGCATTATTTCTATCATTACCATTAATATCAATATTATTATAATGTTTACGATTATTTTCATTATATGCCATAAATGTGTGTGTAAATATGTACATATGTATATATATGTATATGTATGTATATATACATGCATATATGATATATATATATATATATATATGCATATATACCATTAAACATATATGGTATACATGTACATATATATATATATATATATATATATATATATATATATATATATATATATATATATATATATATACATATATATATATATATATATATATATATATATATATATACACACACACACACACACACACACACACACACACACACACATATATATATACATATATATATAATATATATATATATATATATATGTATCTATATATCTATATATAAAAAATATGTTATATATGTACACATACTTATGAACATACATAAATATATATGATATATATATATATATATAATATATATATATATATATATACACACACACACACACACACACACACACACACACACATACACACACACACACACACACACACACATACACACACACACACACACATATATATATATATATATATATATATATATATATATATATATATATATATATATATGCGCGTGTGTGCGCGCACCCGTATTTACATATCTATGTATAGATGTATGTGGGTGCACGTACTTGGATGTGTATATCTACGTATATTTAAGTGATTCTGGCTAAAATGACACAGATCAAGTTAAAAATAAACGTATTCGAAAAAGATTTTTGCGAAATTCCCCGAAATATCCAGCGGATTAAGCAGTTTGGCAAAGCAATGCTGCGTCAGTCGTACCGAAGCCGCCAACGCTGATGCTGGACCCGAGTCACGCCTGTTTACTCACATCTCTGGACTTTGGCAGCCGCGCAACAGCTGCTCCTGCCAAGTGACGCCCTTGCCACGTCACACGCTCGCACTCGCCAAACGGTATATATGTTTGCTGTCCTCCCAACTACCTTCAGTTCACAAGCGCACGTGCACCTCCAACGATCTCCTCTCAAGTCATAGCACAAGTGTATACATATTCCTCTTTTGAAAATGGCGCCCATTCAGATGGAAAAGTCCTACGACGTGACAGTCTCCTCCACGCCCGCGGAAAAGTGCTCGCGACAGGAAAGGTCAAGCAGCAGGGCGTGGGGTGTGTTCCTCCCCATCAGTCGCAGAGGAAGCTTCTTCCAAGACGCGTTTTTCTCGGACACACACAAGGACTTTGACTCCTCCGTCAGGGAGGTGTTGGCCAGATGGAGTGGCGACGATTTCCAAGCGAAAGACTTCCGCCGGGAGGATATTATGGACCGATACAGACAGCTTCGATCTCGCAACCTCAAGGAAGAGAACCAGGCTGTCACAGTCACATCTGACAACACAAGTCACAAGGTGAGTCGATATAACAACTGTCTGTTAAACAAGACATGGTTAACTAGTGTGTAAATTCGCAGAGCAAGTCCACAAAGAGCTAAAATCATAGCATATAAATTCTGTTTCCCAGATTGTGCTGGACGTGCATGACTTTCTGGAAGGAGATGTGAGAGTGAAGGTGTTGGACGAGGAGGAGCTGTTGGTGGAAGGACACGTGGAGAGGAAGGAGGAAGGAAGCCTGTCCGTCTCGTCACACTCCTTCAGACGCTACTTCTCTTTGCCTCGACACACAAACGTGACGGCGATCACGTCCGTCATGTCCACAGATGGAATCCTCACAATCACTGCGCCAAAAATGGTGAGTCAAGGATTTTCTCGTAATCAGTTTGTAGCCTATTAAAAAATGAATGTTGTATAAGTAAAAAAGAACACGATATCATATTGACCCTAATATTACGTTATATTTTACCTCACAGAAAACGGAAACTACAAAGGAAAATATCATCACTCAGACTTCCACTTTGAATAACTGTGAGAAAGTCAGCGAAACTCGAACACAAATGGCATCAAACGACGAATCGGAAACTACACAGTCAAGTCTTAGCACAGACTCAGAACACTCGTCTTCTACACGAAAAGAAACTTGTTCTTGCCATTTTGGGACCAAAGGAACAGCTGATTCCTCTAGACTTCACCGCGGTTCGAGGGACACTCTCTTGCCCATCACTCGAAGGGGAGACTTCTTCCAGGACTCATTCTTCTCCGGTATACACCGCAATTTCGACGCCTCCATCAGGAAGGTCCTCAACGGCTGGAATGACGCCGACCTCCAGCTGGCGGACTTCTGGGATGATGACGACTTCCACCGCAGCGACAGACTGGGCCGCTACAGACAGCTGCGATCGCGGAACCTGTGGAGTGACAACCAGGCCGTTACAGTCACTTCGGATAATATTAGTTATAAGGTAAGTAGCATGAAGACCACACGTTAAAAAAAAATAACCAATAATTCTTACGTTTCATGCACGAATGGGAAACTTGTTTTGTATACTGATAGCGTGAATCATGTCACAGATCGTGTTGGACATGCATGACTTTGTGGATGGAGATGTGAAGGTGAAGCTGATGGGCGAGAAGGAGCTGCTGGTGGAGGCCCTTTCGGCCGGGTCCTCGCGCACCTTCAGACGCAGCTTTTCCTTGCCTGAGTCCACTGACATGACATCCATCACGCCTGTCATGTCGTCAGATGGCATCCTCACAATCACTGTGACCAAGAAGGTATTGTCCTAGCTTCCTCTTACTATATCAACGCTTTTCTGATGTTATAAAACTGACTTCATTAAAATGTAGAAGGCATTCGCATGGTAAATACGCCAATCCTAACCAACAGGAGACTGAAACACAACAGAAGACGACTGTCATCCCCATTAGCGTCAAGGAAACGCACAATGCAGAAGTTCACAGCTCAACTTCCTCGACGACCTCGGGAGTTTCTGAGGAAGCGTCGTCTGGCCAGAGAACGTCCCACACAGCCCAACAGGAGGAACGCAAATCCACACGATGCCATCAGGAGAAGATCGACGAGAACAAGACCCAAACTGCAGCTTCCAGTATCTCAAGCAACACCCAAATATCATCACAGAAGCAGTCGTCTGTGATCTCAGATTTCGCTTTCACAAAAATTTCCGACTCGCTGGAAGCAAAGGAAACTCTTGGCAGTTCGCAAGACGATTCCTTGGCCATCGCGAGGAGAGGAAGCTTCTTGCAAGACTCGTTCTTCTCCGACATTCGCCGAGACTTCGACGCCTCCGTCAGGGAAATCTTGAAGAAATGCGACGACTCCGACCTCACGCTGACAGGCGATGTCAGTCAGTGACATCCTGAGCCGCTACAGGCAGCTTCGATCTCGAAACATGAGGGAAGAGAACCAGGCCTTCTGCGTCTCGTCAGACAGTGCCAGCCTCAAGGTCAGTCCCCTCTCTGTGTATCAGCACTCGGCATTGCCTAAAGTATTCAAGATATTTTCATTGATTACAAAGTATTTGATGTTTTTCTCTTGGTACACGATTATCTATACTTGATATGCACAACTTCACTGAGGGTCGCAGAATATCTTCACATACTATTATGGGCTTCATCATTATCCGATTCATTCTGCTTGTTCTTTCTTTCTTTTTTTTCTCATTATCACCATTATTGCTTTCATTATCATTACTATCATTATTGCAATTATCAATATTCATATCATTATCAATGCCATTATTTTCATTGTTAGTGTTATTATCATTGTCACTTTCAACATTGTTATTATTGATAATCATCAGTCCTATCACTATATTTTGACCATATTTTCATTAACTTAAAAAAATTAAAGCAAATTCAATTCAATTTCAATCTCATAGATCGTGCTGGACGTGCATGACTTCATGCGCGGAGACGTCAAGGTGAAAGTCGTCGACGAGGAGCTGGTGGTGGAAGGGCGCGCGGAGGAGGAGGAAGGAGGGTCGTCCGTCTCGACACGGTCCTTCAGACGCCGCTTTGCCCTGCCTCACAGCACTGACATGACACGCATCACTTCTGTCATGTCTTCGGATGGCATCCTCACAATAACTGCTCTCAAAACGGTAAATAACTTACTTTTCATGTTAAGATAACTTAATAAACCTATGTTTACATTACATAATCATGCTTAAAAAATATAGACCTGACATGTTAATCACACTGCAATGTAACATTATATCAAGTCTCTACATGACCCTGTTTTTGTTTCATTCAGGCAGGAGAACCACAGCAAAACTCACTCGTTAACTTCTCCGCGACCGAGGAAAGGAAGGAATCATCAACAGCTCAAGACTCAACACCCGAAGCAGTTTCGTCCACGACGGAGAAAAATATCTCTGTTCACGAGAAACTTGTTAGTGTGGATCAGATGGAGTTTGGGTATGAACGAAAACACTCTTACGAGAACAAGACGAGAAAGCTGAAGAAAGAATTCGAATTTCCTGCTGAATCCAAGGAAGTTTTGAAGTCCAAGATCTGCCACAATCCGTCTGTGGATGAGTCTACAACTGCTTCTGTTCGTGGAGACGTTGCCAATATTCAGGATCATGAACTCATGCGATTGGCTGAAACTCTTGAATCGACAGTCGTTGAAAAGCCTCTTATGATGATTCAGTTTCTGAACAACAGGAACAAGCAACTGTGCAATCAGAATCTGATTCGACTGAAGCCATCAAACTGGGCGAGGAAATCTTGCCCATCGTTCGAAGGGGAAGCTTCGTCCAGGACTCCTTCTTCCTCGATGTCCGCCAAAATTCGACGCTGCCATCAGAGAGGTCCTGAGGAAGTGGGTCAGCGAAGACAGCGAAGTGACACACAGTGAGGACTTCCTTGGCCTTAGTCACAGCGATATCCTGGACCGCTACAGACAGCTTCGATCCCACGAATTGAAGGAAGAGACCCAAGTCTTTATCGTCACGTCCGACAACACTAGTTACAAGGTAAGTAGTTCAAGAATCACTCTTACTAATACAATTTTGTTTAAACGCCTTTTGAAGATCAATTAAACCCAATATTTTTTCAATCTACCTGCAACTGTTTACATGTTTCTTCATGTGAACATTTATTAATTCAAATATGATATCCAGATGTAAGCATTATGGCTATTGTTTAATATACATAAATTTTCATAGATCGTGTTGGACGTCCAAGACTTCATGAACGGGGATCTGAAGGTGAAGGTGGCGGGCGAGACGGAGGTGGTGGTGGAGGGTCGTGTGGAGAGGAGAGAAGAAGGAAGCTCATCCGTGTCCTCCTACTCCTTCCGACGCCGCTTCTCCTTGCCAGAGCACATTGACATGACAGCCATCACGTGCATCATGTCTTCAGATGGCATTCTTACAATCAGCGCTTCAAAAATGGTATGTAAGGATTATCTGGAGATAACAATTACTTATGCTATATGTTACAAAGATGAAAATGTCAGTTACTAAGAATACAAAAAGATGTTACAAATAAATACGTGCACATCGCAGACACTCACAAGCACCCTCTTTCCCTGATACACATACTCACGTACGCACTCACACACACTCGTGTTTCTGTTTTATAAGATCAAGTATAATTTTTAAGCTAATATTTAAATTGTTTAACAGGCAGAAGAACCGGAGGAACACAAAGTGATCAGGTCTGTTGAGGAAGTTCAAAAATCCTCTCAAGTTCAACGCTCGCTATTCCCAGCTGATGAAACCATCTCCCTCCATGAGGAATGTGAAAAAGAAAGCAAAGCCACACATGACTGCATGGACTCTGGCAGAAGATACGAGCATTGAAGATGTAAAGATTCCGATCTCATCTGAAGAAATGAGTGTGGAATCTGAGACAGCACGAGAAGTCCTGTGACTGATTCTGCAGCAACATCGAGTCATGATACTGATTTCGACTTTGTAGAAAGTGAAAATCAAAGCAAAGAAACTATTGGCAACATAGAATCTATTGTACCTGCAGAAGGCTGACTGATTCATCTTTTGTGTCTGATGAAATGCAGTCTTGCTCCGAGTTTGCAGACATTTCAGATGCTTCCTTGTGTCGCCGAAGTTCGATCGCCATGACTGAAACGTCTGGCAATTTGTCTGCCTCTCGTGACTTTGGAACTTCCTCCCAGGATTCTCTTCTGTCTGCCATTCCCGAAGATGAAAACGATTCCGAAACTGCAGAAGTCCTTCATCTTGAAGACTCTCAGCAGGCTATTGATATTCATGATCTAAAAAACTCACAGGAATCTTCTGACATTGTTGAAGTGAAAGGCTCAGAAGCTATTGAAATTCTTGATCTTACAGAGTCGCAGGAAGATATTGACATTCTTGATGTAAAAGATTCACAGCGATCTGTTGATATTCTTGAAGTGAAAGGCTCATCTGTTGAAATTCTTGATCTCCAAGATTCCCAGGAATCTGTTGACATTCTTGATGGGGAAGACTCACACGAAACTGTTGCTGAGGCACAGAATGTGTCAGGTCAGATCTCAAAGTCTGTGCAAGAAGGTCCAAATACTTGACGAGGAACTTGCACAATTTTCTTGGCAAAATAAGTATGAGAACGACTCAGCAGTTCAAGAGAACTTTAATTACCAAACAATCCCTGAGGAAACACTCGACAGCAAAAGGACTCAGTCGGCAGCCATTGAGAGTTGCACAAATTCCCTTCAGTTATCCAGAGATTGTACCCATGAAGAGGAAGCCGTCGATAGTGTCGGGCAGCTGAACCTCGAAGAAACGACTGAAACCAAAGAATCCAGCACAACAGACACAAATCCCGAGACTTCATCCACGACAATTGCAGAAGAGTCTGCAGAAGCTATCGAATCCTTGAAAGGAACAAGGAGGATTCACAGAGATTCGCCAGAAGAACTCTTGCTCATCACCAAAAGAGGAAACTTCTTCCAAGACTCATTCTTCCTCGACGCTCACCGAGACTTCAGTGCCGCTCTCAGGCAGGTGTTGGGCAGGTGCAATCAAGTCAACTTTGAGGACGACACTGACCTCCGTCACACCGATATCCTGGAACGCTACAGGCAGCTTCGGTCTCGCGATCTGAGGGAAGAGAATCAGGCCGCTATCGTCACATCAGACAAGTCTTGTATGAAGGTTAGTCGACATTATTGTCATTGTTACTTTTTGTGTCATTTTGAGTAATATCAATATTATTACTAAATAAATTACTACTATGATTCCTCAAAGAACATTCCAAAAGTAGGTATAAAAAGCTACCTATTATTTCCAGATAATTATGGACGTTCATGATTTCATGAGTGGAGATGTACAAGCGAAAGTCGTTGATGAGAAGGAGCTGGTCATCGAGGGACTTTTGGTGAAGAAGGAAGAAGGAACCTCATCCGAAACCTCTCACTCCTTCAGACGCCGCTTCTCTCTTCCACAGTTTACTAAAATCACTTCTGTCATGTCATTAGATGGCATCCTCACAGTCACTGTGATGTTTAAGGTATGTTCTAATCAAGTCCTATTATTGATATACCTTTTGCTAGGAGTAATCACCTATGAATAAAAAAAAAAAAAAAAAATTACACTACGCAAATATTGTATAAAGTTATTGTTTTGCAGGAAGGAAATGTCGAGGCAAATACTGCTGAAAACTCCATTAAAACTGAAGCAAAACGCATCACAAAAGAAATCATTCACTCGAAATCACCTTCACTTCCTGCTGAAAAACGTCTGCTTGAGACCAAGAATGAGAACCAAAATGGACTGAACGAGTATATGACGTCTCAGTCCGAGGAAACTCGTCATTTCTCTCGAGATTTCACGTCGGGAACAGAGACGCCTTATCTTGATTGCAGTTTCGAGGACAGCAATAGACTGAGACGCTGTGGACAAGAAAGTGGCAGGGAGTCTCAAGAAACTAATAAGTATAACGTCACCGAAGACGCAATTATGGGAACGTCCTCTCGTTTGGCGAGTGGTTCTCTATCTAACTTCACAGAGAAATCTTTTCCTATCACAAGGAAAGGACACTTCTTTTCCCATTACTTCTTCCGAGACACAAGGGAGGATTTCCAGAAAGCAGTAAGGGAAATCCTGAGCAGATGGGGAGAGAAGTCCTGCGGTGACGAGATGACTTCCTACAGGAAACTACGAGCACGAAATATGAGGGAAGACACTCAGGCTGTGACGTCCTCGGAAGATGAACGCCATTATAAGGTACAGACATAGACTAATTATATAATCTGTTTCTCAGTCAAGAAATGCTATTTGAAACATCATGAGAACTCATTGCCTGAATGAACCTTTGTCATGTATTTTCTTCTTTTTCAGTTTGTCATTGATGTTCACGACTTTATGGACGTTGGAGAGATCAGCGTGAAGGCTGTGAACGAGCGAGAGTTGGTGGTCGAAGGTCACTTGGAGAAGAAGGAAGACGGTTCCAAGTCCAGCAAGCGGTTCCTTCGGCGCTTCGTTGTTCCTGGAGACATTGAGCTTGAGGCTGTCATTTCAGTCATGTCTTCTGACGGTGTGCTTAAAATTTTGGCTCCAAAGAAGGTAGGTCATCTGTGTATACGCTCGAATATATTGTTATATAAATATGTATATAGGAACTGCGTTTATTTGAGGGAGTAAAGAGAATAGATATGACTAGAACTGCAAACACTTGTTCAAAATACGTGCAGAGGCGTTTGTCTAAAATACATTCTAGAAACAATCGCATCAAAGTAAATATGCATCATAACTTTGTTGTTCCGCAGGAGGGCCATAATCGAAAACATTTTTCGATTGATGTAGAAGACATGGACGATGTCGAGGCAACGGTTTTCAAGGAAATTTAGAAATGGACATCGTCTCGCCGAGGAATATCTGAAGAAGAGAGATTCATCTTCTGATGACGAGGAATTAAGAGCTTTTGCCAAACAATCCAATAACCATTACCGAGTCACTTTCCAAGACGATGACGAAGAGTTTGAAGGTGGACACGTGTTCAACAAAGAGACAAAGATGACAAATGACAGCAGTAAGGATTTCAAGTATAACATTCCAAGCCTTTCTATGGAAACCAGGGTTTTGCACATAGAGAGGAGAGGTGCGTTTGCTGAAGACTATTGCTTCGCAAATGTCCGTAACAGCTTCAGCCAGGCGGTGAGAGAAGTGCTGGAAAAGGCCAGTGAATGGACCTGTCGAAGCGACGCCATGCACAACTACAGACGTCTGCGTCAAAACCTCAAGTTGGAAATCAGGCTGTTGGCATCTTGGACGATCAGGACTCGCACAAGGTGGGTGTGAAACTGCTTCTTACTAAAGCCTGTTTTTATATCACATTTGGAATCCTTCTTTCAATTAAGACTGAATAGCTAGTTATCTAAATAACATTTTTTCCTACCTTTTCAGATCGTGATGGACGTGTTTGACTTCATGAAGGGCGACGTGACAGTGCAGTTGGTGAAGGGCAAGGAGCTGCTGGTGGAGGGTCAAGCAGAGAGGCAGGACGGAGGCAGAGTGTCCCGAGTGAGCTTCGTGCGTCGCTTCGCCTTGCCTGAGCTCGTCGAGCGAGACGCCATCAGCTGCGTGTTGTCCTCGGACGGAATCCTGACGATCACCTGCAGGAAGAGAGCAAGCGGCTACAGCGCAAGGGGATTTTGCAGCGAGAGGAAGCCCCACGTGGACACAGCTGGCGGGTGGGAGGACAAGGATGCGAAGGACTCCCTCGCGGATTGGGAAGGAGCCAGTTCTCGGGCCTTCAGCACCGGCTCTCGCTCCCGCTACCATCGCTCTTATGCGAAGCAATATTAGAGTGAAAGTCCTTACAGAATTTATAGATGTACTCAATAAGCGATTATTTTGTGATATATACACATTAATTTTGTATGGAAGAGTATTTGTTTTCTGAAATCACATTCCTTACTACAAGTACTTACATATGTTATTTTGAAGAAAAAGTTTATTTGTATATGCAAATAAAACGTTACCTTACTCTGGTGTACAATTACCCTGATCCTATTTTCCGATAGGTATGATCATCTGATAAGTTTTTTTTATCAATCATAATGCAAAGGCCGATACACACACACACTCACACACACACACAAACAACACACAAAATAATGATAAAAAAATAAGCGGAAAAAAAGTGAAAAGATCTAAAATGACCGATTTGCCCATCACTACCTTCAACAGTTACAGGGAGATCATCGACTGACACAGTGAAAATTACTAGATATAATAATGAATAAATCAATAAATGAGTTCAAAGGAGAGCAGAACAGAGCCTTTCTCGGGTTGGCCACACTGCGCCTTTCAGTAAATGTTTGACATGATTACATGTTCTTGCCTTACTTCTATGGTTCTCCGAAGGCTGGCCCCAACACCCCAAGTTAGGAGGAATCCGACGCCCCGACTAACGACTAATGACGGATAAGAGAAAGAAATATCATCTGGATTCTAGGGTTGTAATAGTTACTAAAGGTGACAGCATATTGCTCAGTTCTCAAAAAAACATACTTTTTGCTAATTGATAATCTAGTCACATCATGTTCACAATCAGTGAGGTTTGTTAAGGCACATTGTTCCAAAATTGGCAGTGAACGTTTATATATATTTGTCATACTTTTAGTTTTTTTGATTATCAAACAAGGCAGCAACAAATGGTTGTCATTATTGTTTCATATGATTATTATTCAAAAGAAAAAGAAACATGCATATACGATTCCGTAAAGAAGCACGAACCATTATTATCATTATCATCATGATGTTATTTTCTTTATCATAATTTCTTGGATTTATGAAACTTTTCTGCCGCGTCAACATCGAAGGTCATTAGCGGCATATTCAAAATATAGCGAAGGGTGAGACTTGAGGAAAAGCCCCTGAAAAGATTTTTTTTCTTCTTCTCCTTTATAATCAGGCGATGTTTGTGGATTCTCACAACAGTAAATGGTCAAAGCGAATGCATGTGCCACACGTCAGAGGCCATGCAGCACTATGATGAAGTGTTATGGCGAAAAGGATAAAGGTGAGTCAACGACGAGGAGTAAGATGCCAGAGGTGTTAGATCGCTGTAGGTCTGGATGGCAGTGAAAGGGGTCAGGAGGGAAGGACAGACGGAGGACAAGGCCGTTCAGGACTGACACAAGGCCAGCCTTTCTTCCTCTCGGCTCTCACACTTTAGGATGTGGACGGAAGGAGGGGTGAAGAACAGGAGGAAAAGAAGAGGGGGAGAAGAAAAGACCAAATTAGTTGAGGCGAGATCAGGGGCCAGATTCTCAAACGCGTTAAGGCGCCGTATCTCCTTAAGGCGCCTTAACTTACGGCCGAGCGATCTTACATACACGTACACAGAGCAAGGGACCCGCCATATTGGTGCGAGTTAAGGCGCCTTAGGTTCAGGAAGGGGGAGAGCAGCCTTTAGCGCTCTACGGCGGGCGGAAATCAACTCTCTTTGCTCTTGTATAAGGGAAATACAGCAGGACGGTTAAGGCCTCCAGCGCGCCTTAACTTAAGGCTCTTTTGAGAATCCGGCCCCTGGGGTCCAAGGCAGAGGGGATCCTCCTTAGCCCCCCCCCCCCAACGAAGAGAAGGGATTGGGGGGATCATTACTATCATTATTATCATGGTCATCCTCATTATCGTCATTACATTTATCTTTGTTATTATCATATTATTGTTGTTGTTTATTATCATTCATTTATTTATATCATTATCATTATCTTCATTATCAGACTATTGTTATTTAATCATTCATTGTTATCATAGTACTGTTATTTTTATCATTATTATTATCTTTATTAAATATCATAATCATTATCATTGTTATAATCATTACCAACATATCTTCATCACATTTATTACTATTATCAATATAATTGTTATCACATTAACATCATTTCTATTATTACTGTCTTTATAATTGTTATTGTTCTCATCATTGTTATCATCATTATTATTATTATCATTATCATTGTTATTAATAAAATTATTGTTATTAAGCATTAATATTACTTTATATTTTGTATCATTATTATCAAAAGTATTATCATTACGGATATACCTATATATTATATATATA